CCACTGTCCATTTAGAGTAGCTCTTCCATTGGTTTCAAATTTATAATTAATGTATTTATTAGTGATATATTTTTTATTTTTATAAAATATTAAAATATAGTATATATTTTTTTATTGATAAATTTGGCTTTTTATGACCATCTAGTGCAGCTCTTCGAAATTTTGCTCTTCAAATTAGTCACATCAATTTTTCTAAAAGCTACGTAAGCAACTTATGCTCTCCATATTTTGGTACTGCTTTTGCTCTCTAAAAATAATATATATATATATATATATATATATATATATATATATATATATATATATACATTTCTTTTCAAAAAATATAGTCGTTGGCACCATTTGTATCAGCCAAAGAGTGCATTAACGGTGACGTTGGTAGGTTTAATTCAGGCAAAAAAAAAAAAAAGTTAAAAAACCTATTTTTTAGGTATTAAAAAAATTTATGTGCCTAAGAAATATATTATTTATTTACTGATTTTTTTATTTTTTATTATTTAAAAGAGACCAAAAAATATGAAAAATAAGTTTTAGGGGTTAAGGTAATGCTACCCGGAGTTATCAAAATAGATGTTTATATGTGGTAAATGGGAACATCAACTTTTAAATTTATAAAAACCACCAAATAACTATACGTGAATATAGTGAGTAGGGATTGTCCACTAGGATAATTGGCTTGGAACAAACTTAATATCAATGAGCGTGAGATTGAAAAGATAGTGATTGGTTTGATTATACTAATCATGATTTTAAACTATGTAAAACTTATAAATGGATAAGCATGAATTATCAAACCCAAGCAAAAATTGTCTACCTAACTACAATTACACTAATGTTGTAGCACAACCCATTAAGACTAAACATAATCCATCAAATTAAGATCAATTGTATCTAATAAAAACCATGCATGGTTGTCACTAAGCACAATTACAAAAAGTACTCAATGTAGAGATTAATCTTCAATTACATAGATGTATAGCTCATCCAAGCCCTAAATGAAGAAATAGCCACTCATGGAGAAAGTAAATGCCATCTTGGTGGTCTCACAATCCATCCCCAAGCTTAGCTTCATCTTCTTCTTCCTATTCTTGAAAGAAACCCTAGAGAGAGAATCCCCAAATTATAGATCTAGAAAAATCCACAAATTGAATTCTTTACAATTCACTCTTCCAATCTTCCCCCCTAGCAAATTGGGTTTAATCTTGTATTTATAGGTGACTCTTACAATCCCAAAATGGTCAGACCCTATACACAAGAAAACCTGATCGATTAGCCAACAAGCCCTCTTAAATCAAGGCTTAAAATATGATTTTAGTAATAGCAAGGCCCTCGATCAATCATAGCTTTGGCTCAATCGATCAGGCTCGGCCGATCAGAGCTTAGGTTGTTATAGATATTTTTTTATAAAACCAAAGGGCTCGATCGATCTGGGATGATGCTCAACTAATTTAGGTTGTTGGAGATTGATTCTAGATAGGGCCAAAGGGCTCGATCGATCTAGGATAATGCTTAATCGATTGAGGTAATTATCTTTGCAGCTCAGTCTTCTTTTTGCTTTCATTCCTTGCCAAGACTTCCGTTGACTTTCCCAAGGCTTTAAGACATCAGATTTAGCTCATTTCAACCTTTTAAACCTAAAAATGGAAATACAACAAAATAAGATTAAAGAGGAAAAATAAAGATAGATTAAAGTTCTATTATACCTAAGATTATGGCTAAAATATGCATATTTCAGCACTTATCACATACCCAAAAATTAAATATTGCTAGTCCCTTAGCAATGAGCAAAGAAGGAAATAAAAAGAAACAACTATACAACTAGAATTAATAAAACAATAAAAAGATAATGCCGTTTTCGTAGGGATCACGATTGCACTTAGCACATGCAACAAGCCTTTTAAATCCCTAGGTTACCGCTAGAGGACGAGTGAAGTCTCATGGGGATTTTCAAAAATGATACCCACAAACATTAAAACTCTTCCTCACTTAAGAAGCATTAAAGCACATTTAAACAAATGTCAAGAGAAAACTGCATTAAAGCACATTTAAACAAATGTCAAGAGAAAACTATCTCAAGTATGCAATTTTCATCCATTTCTAAACTTTTCTTAATATCTCAACATCACGCAAGCAAAAATAGTCCCCATATATCAAGCAAGTCAATCATGCAAATTATAATCAATTCTAGCATCCTTTTTTAGTGAACTGGCATCAAAATATGTTGTTATCTTAGCATAGTCAATGTAAAGATCACAAAACGGCCTCAAACTAGCACACATCTCAAATCCCAATCATCAAGATTACAAATGAACCTTTTTTTTATTTTTATTTTTTAGAGAGAATGGGATCGAATATGAGAGCGTGGTGCAATGTAAAGATCTTTGAATCTCTCTTAGAGGACTTGTGTAACAAGCGTTGGGTTAATGGCTCCCAGACCGAACGGCTTTAGGGCATTGGGTGTTAAGACACCCCTTCGGACTTAAAAGCTCAAGCCAACTAGGCTACAAATCAAAACAACTCTCACTTCTCATTTCCCAACTTTTCACTTTTTGACACGAGAATTCAATGCTTAATGTGGCAAGAATCCCGGCTACTTGGTGAAAAAGTTCTTATTTCAATTGAGCCCTTCACTTTTTCATGCGAGAATTCAATACTTAATGAGGCAAGAATCCCAGTTACTTGGTGAAAAAGGGGTTGTTATTTAGCATGCATGATCATTTTGTCAAGAATGATGACTCTTCAAATCCTACAAGCTCAAATGGGATAAAACCAAAACAATGATAATCTAAGCATGAACCCCACAATTTGAATGCTAGTGTGTGGAATCAATTTTCAAAGCATTTTTAACAAGCAAGATGATGTGAACCACAAAAGTGAGCGTGATATCAACAATTTAAAAAAATTTCCTAAATGGCATCCAAAAGCATACAAGAAGTATTAGACTCTTAAAACTCTCCATTTTGAGGCAACATCTATGTTTCAAAATATCAAAATTATAGCCAAAATGGACCTCAAATCTCAATTGCACAGTTAAAGTTCAGAACTTGCAAAGAATGCACAAAGTAACCTCACTCCCAAACTTAAACTTCACATTATCCTCAATATGCAATGAGAACAATGGAAAAGAGGGAAAGAGTATACCAGCGTAGCATTGGCTAAGAAGAAACACGAACGCAAGGATCCAAAATGGTGGTAGAAGTACCCCCACTAAACTTAGATTCAACTATGGTCCTGAAAAGATCACAATGGTACCAGCCTCATCAAGATCATAAATGGTATAAGGGTATGTTAACTATGCAAAGTGCAGGCAAGTGGACTATCAGAAAGAAATAGAGATAGAAAAGTCCCTAGATAAAAGAGAGAAAAATCCTCTTAAATAGGGGAAACTACGATACACCTGCTGAATGAGATCACACACACACACACACATATATATATATATATATATATATATATATAATCATGAAAAATATCCAAGCTACCAAAAATGATAGCAATCAAAGTACATCACCAAATGTAAGGCCAACAGATTGGCCAATAATCGAATAAATGTATCAGTCACAGATATGTAAAGAGAGATATAGAAACAGAGAGATGGAGATCAGGGCCATGGTGCAGAGGATGATGGATGAGAGGAATGAGAACCCTGGAACTAGTGAAGGAAATCGGACATCATCAGCCGCATCTCTGTACCTAAAGCAGTAACATCCTCCTGTACACCTGTACGAATGATGTAATGTCCTCTGGCAGAGCAACAACATCCTCGCGTATCTCTATACGAATGCTGGAAATGTCATCTCGTAGAGACTGGTAATGAGCCCGAGTCATGACAAATGGAGCCTAAGAATCTGGAAAGCGAGGCTAATCCTACGCAGGTAAGTGTGGCTTATGCTCAACCTATGGCTCATGTTGTGCAGCTGGGACTAAAGGTGCATGTGCTACAAGGATGGAGGTGCATCCTCATCGGGATCCTCAGGCAGGGCTGTCTTAAGCAGTGCCTTGTAACTCTTCTTCCACTCCTTCCACTCATAAGTGCAGGAGCCTCCCTCACGTGCCTCCTCCGAGTCGAAGGGGCAGTGCTGGTCCCAGAGTATTTGAGCAATAAGATGAGAGAATGGAAAAATCTGAGCTCGTGTAGGATTTTTTTTGGAGATATAATCCTCTCACATCTTGTACATCACTCCACAAATAACTGCAAGCACCGAGAACCAGTGTCCTATATGAATAGCATATAGAGCAACCAAGAAATCGCCTCGCCTCTAAGTCTTGTGACCAGCCTAGTGCACATTCTTGTAAAGGACATGATCGAAGAACCATAGTTGGTGGGGCAAGTCCCAACGGGAAGCACAAGTGGTGAACCTGTCGTCACCAAACCTACCTCTGCATAAACCCCGAATCATATCAATGTTTAAAGGCCTCTGCAGAATGGGGTAATCTGTCCCTGGAGGCGGTAGATGAAGGCATCTGGATGTCTGTACAAGGGTGTAATACCCCTAATTTTAAAAGAATAGTCTCGGTATTTATTTAATTGATTTAATTGTATTTTTATTAAATTATATGATTATTTGGCTATTTGTTTACATGTTTATTTGCATTGTTTGTTTAATTTGAATTGTGATTTATGTGACTTCATTGTAAATTGATTTGTTGTTGTGTGTAGTGAAATGTTTTAATTGTGCATGCTGTTTTATTTTATTTTATTTAAATTAAAGGTGTGGATTTGGACAATAGCAATGAACCAAATAATTGGGTCACATTTACTACTTAGATAGGAGGTTAATAGATACGTATATTTACCCATAGATGGATCTATATATATATATATATAGATATATATGTATATAGAAATTTAATATTTATTAATATTAAAAATAATATTAATATAACTATGATTATATATATGTATATAGAAATTTAATATTTATTAATATTAATATAACCATGATCAGATATATATATATATATATATGTTTTGTTCTCGTTTCACAACATCAGACTATTACAAAACACTCGGTTCGCTAGAGCAGTACATTGGATCACACTACACTTCTCAGACGGGGCCTTATATTTTCGATTCTCTCTCCTCTTCTCGCTCTCGTGTCGCTAGCTCGCCCGATCGTCTCCGATATAAGTCGTCTTCGTCCGTCTATTGAGATTAGGGTAAGTATCTAATTCGGAATTTCTTGTATTCATTAATTTCATTTTTTGCTTTTCATATTAAACCCTAGTTTATCGCCTGATCGTCTCTGATCTAAGTTTCATTCAAACTGTAACTATCTAATTCGAATTATATTCAGTTTTTGTTCGTGTCCTGTAATACTAGTTTGTAAACCCTAGTTTGTCCCTCCATCAAGGCAGATATCCGGAATTATTCATGTTTTTGTTTCTCTCATTAAACCCTAGTTTATCGCTTGATCGTGTCTCATCTAACTTTCATTCAAACTGTAAGTATCTAAATTATATTCAGTTTTTGTTTTTGTCCTGTAATCCCTACTAATTGTAAACCCTAATTGTAAATCGGAATTATTTCTTGTTTGTCTGCTGGTTGATTTTGATTACAATGCATTTGAAAATTTGAAATTGCAAGTACTTTTAATATTCTGTAAACCAGACTAATATATGCCAGCTAAAGCAAAAAGTCTCATGTGGCATGCTTATCGTCTAGTGGTATCTTCTAGACCTTATTCAAATTAAGCACTCAGTCTCCGGGTAATACTTGTTTTTTTTTGCTTTGTATCTGTTTGCCAGGGGCCTCGCCTCTTTTGTTTGTTCTGTTTTGCTGGTTGCTTAATAAAAGTATTAAAGAGTTGAAGTCCTTGTTGGTACAATAAATAACACAAGTACAAGCTTCTGCAGATCTGTAGTGGCATACAGACGGGAGCAGTGCTGCAACATCCAGTCCGTCACCTCCCTCTGCCACAAAACCAGTATGCTCCAAACCAGACCTTACCCATGGGCCTTTAATTGAAGAAACCTCGTTTGAATTTGTTAATCCTAACTTCGAAGCACCCACATCTCAAGTGGGTAACCAACCCTCCCTCAACCAAAACCAGCCCAGCCTCTGCCACCAGACCAGCCCTGCCCTCCCCTTAACCATGGCTTCCTAAATGCCGACTTTGAGGTGACCACTTCTGAATTGCCACTAGCTCCGGAAGTTCCCAACCAGGCATCAATCTAAGGATTTCTTAATCCTACCTTCCCATATGAGCACTTCTCACTCAATCAAGACAGCACATCAAGGGTTCCCTAACCCTATTCAGAACTTCCACAATGATTATCTCACTTCTCAAGTGGCCCCGAATCAAACTAGTAAGTCCTTCCACAATATTCAGCCCACCTGCCCACCCATCTTAAATCCAGCATCATATTCCAAACCTTCTGTATTTTTTTTGTATTTGGAGTTTCTAGTTGAGGTAATGACATGTGATCCTAGATCAGCAACTTTGAATTCTTAATTCCTTTAAATGTCGCTTCTTTTTCCTTAATATATTGGGGTTGGTATTCATTGGGCTTCTATTTCTCTGTGCAATTGCTTTTTTTCTTTTTTCATTCTTTTTCCTGAATGTGAATTGATATTAATTGCTTTAATTGTCTTCTATTTCTTTCATTAGTGCAATTGCTTTTTTCTTTTTTCATTCTACTTGAATGTGGATTGTGATGAACAAAGCTTGCCAAGTGTCCAAGTTGGCCTTGATTCCTCTCATCTTATGCTCCACATTCGACTCCCTTATGTTGTTTCTACTCTACTACTTTTTCTATCTCCCACAGTTCTCGACATGTCCCAAAGATGTTGAAGGGTTTATTTATGTACCCCAGAAGCCCTGTATTATCATTATTAGTATTTGTTTCTTACTTACTTTCTGTTTCCTCCTAATAGTAGCATTAATTAAATTTTGAGTTAAATAAATCTAAAAAATTTCAAGGTTTGGTTCTGGCTTGGGGTCCTTAAGGACCGGAAAAGCAGCCTCAAAGTAATATTGAATTAAATCTTATATCCATACCAAGTCAGCTATTGTTTTTGCATTGGTCAGGGAAAACAATATGGCCCATTCCAGTAGGCCGCAATAACAACCAAATTCCACCATAAACATTAACACCTAAAAAAAAAAAAGAAAAAAAAAAAGAAGTTCAAATCATACCATTGTTTATCGAAAGAATCAAAGTGTAAAAATTTCATTACTCTGCAAAGTAAAGCTAAAAGCAGTTTCTCTAGCACTAGAAGCAAACACAGAGATATTAAACGATGTAGAGATTTTGGCAAATTACAATGTCCAACTCTTTTGTAACTTCATTTTGGGAGAGAAAGAGAGAGAGAAAGGGGAGCGTCAATATCAACTCTCCTTTTTCCACCTATATATATATATATATATATATATATATATATTATTCAACATGGTTTTTCAGGTCATTCTCTCAGTCATGTCCTTTTGTTAAGCTTACGTTTATTTCAACATAAAAATGATCCTCCCATTTGCTGGGTGTTTGGCTGACATACTTGGAAACAACAGTTTGGCTGAGGCATTTAATCAAACATTGGACGGACGGACTTATTTAACAAAATCTAAAAACAAAAACATAAACAAAACAAAGAGAAAAAAAATTCGGTATTTTAATGTGTCGGGAAAGGAGACAATTTCTCAATGGATATAGCAAATTGAAGTTTTTATGACTCAGCATTAATTGAAGCTTTTCATGCAATACACTTGACACAACAATTCAAACAAGTTCTAATTACAAAATTAAGAGCATCAATAAGTACATCCCAGTATCAAGACGATAAGCTTTATTTTGCACCATTATATCGTTTGAATAATAGAAATGCAGGAAATAAAAAAACCGGCGCCTATGTACCTTTGTGCGAAATCTCTCAATTACTCTGTGCTTTATCGTAGCTAGTTTGTAATTGGGAATTTTCTATCTCCACTTCACCAATCCAAGGGCTTTATATTTCTCATCAACATCAGGATAGAATGGTTAAGTTCGTTTTGTTGGAAACACTTTGACAATTTGTTGTTCTTGTTGTTTAATCTTTGTGTTTTATTTATTTAATTATTTTGATTGGACATTTATATTTTGAATGCAATGATATAATTAAAACACCTATTTATTTTGGGTTGATTAGTAAGTCCATTTCAGAATTATATCTATGGTTCTTGCTGGAGTCACCTTTCTTGCGGTTAAATCTTCCGATTCTAATTCATTAATTCTAAAATTTTACTTTTCATCCATGCTAAACTTGTAATTTATATGGAAGTAGTAGTTCTGCGCTGTAATCCAAATTCCTTCCTTACACCATACTTTCTTCAAGATTTCCTCTTTAGTCAAAAGCAACTTTTAAGTCCCTCCATCTCTGTTTCTCACTCACCTCTTTCCTCTGCTTTCTTAATCTCTCATCATCACCCAAGTTCATCTCATATATTACATTTAACCAATCCCAACCAAACAAAACACAAGATCATCTATATGTATTTACACTTGAAATTTGGGCAAGGATAATGATAATATATACACACATAACAATCCAAATGATTATTCAACTGCAAAGGCACTGATTGAAGTGCAGACACTGGTGTTTAGATCATTGGAGAATTCATGAATTTTCAGCTTTTAAGATTGCTAGGCTTGAATCTAAACTTCAGTCAGAAAAAAAAAAGGACAAAAATTAAAGTAAATGATATCACTGATAAACATGAATTTACATCCACTGCAATCTCACGGAGGAAAAGATGGTAAATATACAAAAGTATGTTGCCATCAGGGTGATGCATCAAATGTTTACAAATAACTTCAGCAAATAGATGACCATACATCCAACATAGGTGCAGCTTAATCGAACACCTGATCCAACGGTCCAGACATATTGTTGTTACTGTTCTCCAACTGGTTGTCGCGAAGATTTGACCACCATCTCAATGCCTGTTGAAACTAATATATAACTAAGCCACAAGAGAGCATGCACGACTTTTTATTTTGGATTGACAGGTTTTTAATACTAACTCTAATTCCCGTGGTTCTACCATGTGTTTGTGGAAAATTTATCCTAATTCTGATGTTGGTGCCTAGTTTATTGTTCAGGGTCTTCGGGATACCTATCTTTTCTTAAGGGAAGGGTGGTCCTCTATCTTGCATATCAAACAACTATTGGGAGTGTCTTCCTGAATAGCGCGTTCCCATATTCTTGGTCCCCAACTTTGAACTTCAATTAATATGTGATCTTTTGGTGCATCTACTTTATTATTCTCTGATTTTTTTACTAAATTTCATTTGCATCATATTGGTAAATTTCCAAAGTTTCATAAGAAACTTGGATCAATTTCATTCCCATTCAATTATGACAGATTGGAATTGGTTGGAGAGCATTCCGAATTTCCAAAAAATGTAATCGCTCTCTAAAACCAATGTAAAGTGGATCCATTTTCTAATTTACAATCACTCTGTTTTTGTTCAACCAAATAGCCAAGTCTCAAAATTATATAACAACTCTTTTAAACTCCAATTGAATATCACTCTGTTTGTGTTCTAATAACAGAGCTCACAATTTCCGATTGATTGCCCGTTGTCCATTATTTAAAGAAGCTACACGTCAAGGACCATAAAAACGTTTTACACTAAATGCAAAACTTAAAATTTTGATTTTTTCAGAAGAATGTATGGAATTTATCCAAATTCCAGTGCTTCTAATCACAGAACGCTATATATGTTTGCATTAAGTGTAAAACGTTACATGAACCAGATCTATAATTGTGTTTGCATAATATAACATAGCTATATATGGTAATGATGAGTTTGTACGTTGACATATAAAATATAGAACTAATGTTTTTTGCATGCATATACAAAATTTGTGTTATCTATTGTATGGATGTTGTATTTAATTATAATGTTGAAAGTGGCTTATTCGGAGACATGAATGAGTTGTTATGGCATAAACATATTGTCAATAAATTGTACGAACAAAATACATACGTTAATAGCATGTAGGATTTGCTATTATATGTATGGATAAAAACATACTTGTGGAGACATGAATGAATTGACAGTGCATAGGTAGATTGCCATTTGAATTGTATGGACATAAACGTGTTGGGAAACGTGCAAGTTTTTAAAATTTTTTGAGGAATTTACATACATAGATCTTGATTCATCACATGGAAACAAGTTTTATACAAAAATAAAATATGATGTATCATTCAATTTACTTACATCAAATGTTTGAGTAAACCTTTAAATCTTTCCTCTAAAGTGAATGTTTTCACTTATTGTAAATCTCTTTACTAGATGTCTTCTCCTTGAATTTCCATCTTCTCGGTAATGGCTTTGACTTTAGGAATCACTCATAAGCCTCTATGAATGACCTTGGAAAATTAGGCTTGTGGGAGCCTCCATTAGATGAGAATATTAACCTTAATTTTCTAGAGAGAGAAAATATATTACTTTTTCCTTTCTCCAAAAAAAACCCCAAAAATATACATAGGCCATGTATATATATAGGCAACATAAAGATAAGGAAAATAAAATAATAAATCTTTCTCAATCTCTAATTCACATGTCTCAAATCTAATAGGATTCTAATATCAAGTTGGGTTATGAGTGAGAATCATTTGGGTTATTATTTTATTGGCTACAATGAATTAATAATTGGTCCGGTCCATGGAACCAATTCAATTAATTCATAAACTAATTTCTACTCCACTAAAAGAAATTAATTGAACTCTAATTAAATAATAAATAACCTGTAAGTCAATGTTGCACTTTGACTCTTCTATGCATAATTAGTTATCAAATAAATAAAGCCATCAATCCGACTACTTAATTAATATATTTATTTTGGTACCTTTGATTATTTCTGCCTTGATCACAATAAAATATTTGTTTGACAAAAATAATAATTTGAATAAATAAATATATAATAAATCATTTTATCTAAAAACACACAAAGGCCTTCGAATTTACTTTATGATCAACCATAATCAATCCAAAATAAATACAAGTAGTAATGATGCAAATATTGAAAATATAACCCTCTAACTTTTAATTACATAATTACCCAAAGTGCGGTCTAAGGATTCCGAAGATTCCGCCGAACAAATCAAAATAATTACTAATTAATAAAAGAGTCTATACTTCTTTCATGCTTAAAAGTCAAATGCCATGATAGTGATAGGGAGCAATTGCATACGATGGCTCTCGCAATATATCTCAACCTAACATGAATCCAGTTTAAGTCTTAATTAATAATGAGTCCATCCATAATTACCGACTATGAACAATTTATGATTACTATTTATATTCATGTATTAATCGCCATCACATACATATATAAATATCTCTTGTAATCAAGTGGACACTATCAATTCCATAATGAATCGAAACATAATACATTGAATTCACCAATTATATAAATCATAAATATTTCAGATATGTCAGGAACATATGTCATTTTAATCCCAATAGGAATTTACTATGCCAGGGCATATAAATCCCAACAGCTCCCACTTGCCCTCATAGCCAATTCTAATTGCATCCAACTCCAATGTTATCCAGGTGACAATCAAAACTATTGATCGATAACACATTTGTTAATGGATCGATAAAGTTGTGCTCCAATGCAATATTCTAGCCACGAGTACATTTTCTTACTGGACAATATCATGTAAGACATGACACTTCCCCTCAGTGTACCTTGTTCCTTTATGGAACCTTGGGTCATAGGTTTGGACTACTTCTGTACTATTGTTGCAATATAGCTCGATAGGCAGGCTAGTATGCTCCACAATCTCTAAATCAGTGAGATCAAACCAAAAGGCTTCCTTTGCTACCTTTAAGGCTGCAATGTACTCCACCTTCAGGTTTGAGTTAGTAGTTAAAATCTGCTTAACAATCTATTAACTAATTTTCCTTCCATTGAGTGAACTTACACTAAGTAAGGAAACTCAAAGTATCTACATCTGATTTAAAATCAGAGTCAGCATACCTGACTAGGACCATATCATCACATCCATAAAAGAGTATGAGATTATCGGTTCTTTTAAGGTACTTTATTATATTTTTCACAACAGATCAGTTATCAAGTCCGGGATTGGATTGATATTAACTAACTATCCCTACAATGTAGCGGATGTCCTGTTTGGTA